AGTAAATCATTATCATCACAAAAAATTCTTGCAATCGAAAAATATTTTCTGGCTTTAAATAGTCTTCAGAAAAGTTGATAAACAATGTCCATCAACTAATCAATCTCCAGTCTTATAAGCATCAATAGACTGTTAAATTGGCTTGATAGGAGTGATTGATGATGGATGAGAGGCAAAGTTAAGCAGTGTCAATACCTAGATGGGTGACTGCTTGGCAATATAAGCTGCTGTAAGCTTGAATGTGTGGGTGGTTTATTGAAATTGGAAAATTGGAGAGCTGAGTTTGGTTCATTATATTCATTTACATGCAAATACCTTCTCCCTCCAGCTATGGGTTAAGTAGTTGGACTGTATCAGTAAATCATTATCATCTCCAAAAAATTCTTGCAATCTAAAAATGTTTCCTGGTTTTAAATAACCAGCAAAAAGTTTGATAAACCATATCGATCTCCAATTTTATAAGCACCAACAGACTTTTATGTTGGCTTGATAGGAGTAATTAATGATGAGAGGCAACATTATCAACTACAATGGTATCAATCAACCAATTATAGCTAGCTGAATACTGCTGTTGATAGTAAGAATTGCGACCACTAGTACTGAATTGCACCTACCATATAGATTTTTCTTTCCAAATGGTATGCTAAAGCATTTTTTTTTTTTTTAAAGTTTCCATATTTTTGGTTATTGACTCCTCATTGTATATGAAAGAAAATAAACATAATTTCTGTCGTACATAACCTATTTCATTTACTGCCAATTGTGTCTGGCTGATATCAAGCTGCCTCAGTGGTCAGTAGTTGATTAAATCACTGTAACATTTTGTGGAAGGCAGGTGTTCACAAATGTGCTCGGTTGACATGGAGAACAGTTCATTACAAACTTCTCCACAAAAATAACTCTTTTCTAAATCTTTTTATCTGAACATTTTATTAAAAAATACAGAGCTTGTGAGTGGGATTCTACAATGAGTTTGCACGGTAGACATTCTATCCAGGTAATCAATACTTAGTCTCTTATGACTAACAGGCACAAGCCAACCAGGTGTTGTAGTTATTTTGTTCAGGTAATTGTATAAGGTACTGTAATGGCTGGAAACCTGTTAAAAGTTTAAATTTTCTTTGAAAACTGTTTTTTGTTTGTCTTTGTTTTGCCATCCCATGACAATATTTCCAAAATGTCTCAGGATTATGTGACAAACATAACAAAAGTGCCATGAAATCTAGAAACTGGAAGCAAGAACAAAAAAAAAAAAAATGAATTTTGAAGTTTTTGATATTGTTTCTGTAATTCAGTACAATTGGATTTTAACTTTTTTCTTTCTTTTTTTCCAGGGTTGCCACGACCTCCAATGTATGGCTACCCAGCTCCCCCTGGTCAGTTTCCACACCCAATTTATGGCCCAGACTTTCCACAAGTGCAATGGTTAGTATATATATTTCATTGTTTTTGTTTGATTTTTATAGAAAATGAGTGAATATACATGCATATATACTAAATTTTATATGCACAAATTTTCTAATTATACATATACATGCACACACACACACACACACATATATATATATATATATATAACTTTAAATGTTATTTTTAGTGGACACCCATGTTTAGATACTCCATTTATTTTAAACAGTATTTATTTCATATACTATTCAGTGTACTCGAGAAAACTTGGTAAGAAAATACCAGTGGGCATTTTCTTACCAAGTGAGCATGGAAAATGGCAGACGAAATAAATATGGTTTAAAATATACAGAGCATATACTCAAATACCGGTATCCAGTGAAAATAATGTTAGAAGTTATATATATATATATATATATATATATAGTTTTAAGTTGGCCCTAAGTGTTTAACTCACTGTCCATTTTTATATTTACATGATCTATCCTTGCCATTGACCACTTTTTATCTATAAATATAGCATACCTTGAAACTATATATATATATAGTGTGTTTATTTAAACATACACATAAGTACACACATTTTTTCTTTTGTTTCTTGATCTGATGAAGCCTAGAAAGGTGCAACACATAATCAAATTTAGTTTCAATCACACATTTTTCCATTTTTTTTTTATATTATATATATATATATATATATATATATATATATATATGAGATAACAATATTTTTATATATCAAGAACAGAATTGAGGCAATTGTAAGACAAAATAGAAAAAGTTTACTTGTGATGCGTTTAATCTGTTCGGAAATCATTGGACTGGGTTTGTTTATGTTGTTATGACTACCCATGAACAAGAGACACTGGAAGTTTCAAAACTTTTAGAGATTTTTTTTTTTTTTTTTTTTTTTTTAGCAATCTAGTCAAATTCATCTATATTCTTTTTCTTTCCATCATTTCTATTTTTAAATATCCCACTTTATGATAACAGAAAATCTCCCAAGAAATACTAATATATAAACATTTGTTGGTCAGAGTTGAGTCCAGCCAGGGAACAGTTACATTAAAAAGTGCTCTATACACAATCTCAAAAATAGTTAGTATATATATATTTCATGCAGAACTTTTAAATATTAAAAAACAGGAAGATTAGCTGTCTATATTTCTGAGATGAGGTATTATGTACAGTATTTACATTATTCAGACTATTGTCCTCATCTTTGTCGCCATATTTATTACAATGTTTCAGCCATTTTACGCTCCAGCCTTCTTCAGGTGGTTGGAATGTCTACCCCAGTGAGTGAAATAATGGGTTCAGTTTGACATCCCACTTGAGGATGGCCAGAGTGTACAACGACCGAAACGTTGTGATAAATATGGCGACAAAGATGAGGACAATAGTCCGAATAATGTATAGGAAGATTAGTCACTTACACACCCACTATCATGGTTTCAGTCATTGAGGTTGATTATACAAGCATGTAAATAGGATGGTAGGTAAGTTAACCAAACTCACCAAGGGGAGAGTAACCTATACGGTCAAGATCAAAATAGCCGAAAACTCTTAATTCTTCAGTTAATGATTGAATAAGCTCATGGATCATTCTAAAACAATAAAATATCCATAGAAATTCCCCCATCACATCATTAAATTCTTGAGCTTAACATAAAATACTGCAACAACAATCATAAATATGAATGCTGGTCGTTATTTTAAGAAGTAAGGGGGTACAAATGAAAACATTTGAAGTTGGCAACTTTTTCCATTTCACTGAAACAGCCTTTTAAACACTTCTGTGTTCTGGTTGTATATTTAGAGATTCCTGATAAAATCTAAAGAATAATCTGCAATGTTATTGGTCCTGACTGGCATCCCGGCTTTAGTCATGTCAACAGCATTGTAATATAGCTTCCATATGCCATTTTTTTATCAATATTTTCATGGTAATTGTTCCGAGGAACTCTGCACTATGGTACCTAGACTTTATGAATTTAAGCATTGTACTAGATTGATGGCTCAGTCTCGTCAATTCAATAGTGAATTGACGAGATGGAACTGTAAATTAAAAGTTTGATTTATGTTTTAAATACTGCATCAAATTTATCTTTCTTTGTGGATTAAATTTTTTTTTACTTGGTATCCACTCAGTAGGGATATTGTATCTTATGAACAATTTTCAATAAAAAGCGTTTTTTTTTTGTGTTGTCTGAAACTGACGAAAAGAATATTTTCTAATAATGTGTCTGCTATAACATATAATATACTATACTATAATATAATATAAATTATACTATAATATATAATATACTATAATATAATATAATATATAATATACTATAATATAATATACTATTATATAATATAATATATAATATACTATAGTATAATATATAATATAATATAATATATAATATACTATAATATACTATAGTATAATATATAATATAATATACAATATACTATAATATACTATAGTATATATATATATAATATACAATATACTATAATATATATAATATATACTATAATATATATAAACATATATAATATATAACAATATATATATATGTAATATGTAATATATAATATAACATAATATGTAATATATAACATAATATATAATATAATGAATCTAATTCATTTGTTTTATCAGATGTTAATTTATAGAGATTTTTGTAGCTTTTCTTCTAAAACACAACATATTTACATCATTCAAATTTAATAAATCTTTCGACTTTAAAGATATATTTATGACATCCACGTTTCACACTTTCTCCTAATTTAGTCAGTTGTTAAAATATCCCTTGTTTGAACTGTTTGTCCTTTTTGTGACCAGACTGGTACTTTAACCACTGACCTCTCTCTAATGATTTGAGAAAATGAACTTAAGAATGCAGTCAGTCTGTTTAAAACAAACATTTATTTAATGCCATCGGGGCAAACAACTTCATTCAAATTGAGATAAATTGTTTTTTTTTTTTGTTTGTTTTTTTTCTCTCTTTGTTCTTCTTGGGAAATACTTCAACGTTTTAACAGATGATTGCTGTATTGTCCAATTTTCTCTTTTGTTTTTTTATAAGCATCCCTGGTTACAAACATTTACCTTTTTTCTTTTTTTCTTTAAATTAATTGACAAGATGCAAATCGGGCATAAATAAAACCTTTTTTTTTTTCTTTTTTATTTTGTTATGTCAGAAAAAAAAAATAAACAGACTGGCTATTATAAGAGTTCAAAAGGGTTACACTGACATGTTTAGTTTAGAAAAAAAAAAGGTTCTGGAGAATTTTCCCCTTTTCTTTACCTTGCATCCCCAAATGGCAAATTCAGTTTGGGAGATTAAATTTGTGTTGCTGTCGTCTGCAGACAGTGTGCTTTGTTTGGTGTTTGGAGAAGAAGGATATTTGTGAGACACGGGCATTTTCAGTCCCCACCAGTCCACACCCGGTGTAAATTGCACCTCTCGTTCTTGCACTGGTGACACTCGTTGGTCTCGTCCTGTATTGGGATAACATTCCTCTCTCTGTGTTAGGTGGGTAAAGACTTTCCCTTGAGGGAAGAAAAAGCATCCATTGTTGCCAATGGTCTGAGCATGAAGATATTGCTTCTTTCTCCCTTTACTTCTGCCCACTCTTTTTCCTTTAAACTCTCCTTTCATTCTCTCCGTCTCTCTCTCTCCTGCCCGTTCCGTCTCTTTCTCTCTCCTGCCCGTTCCGTCTCTCACTCTCTCTCCTGCCCGTTCCGTCTCTCACTCTCTCTCCTGCCCGTTCCGTCTCTCACTCTCTCTCCTGCCCGTTCCGTCTCTCACTCTCTCTCTTGCCCGTTCCGTCTCTCCTCTCTCCCCCCGTTCAGTCTCTCCTCTCTCTCCTGCCCGTTCCGTCTCTCCTCTCTCTCCTGCCGTTCCGTCTCTCTCTCTCTCCTGCCCGTTCCGTCTCACTCTCTCTCCTGCCCGTTCCGTCTCTCCTCTCTCTCCTGCCCCGTTCCGTCTCTCCCTCTCTCTCCTGCCCGTTCCGTCTCTCACTCTCTCTCCTACCCCGTTCCGTCTCTCTCTCTCTCTCTCTCGCCCGTTCCGTCTCTCTCTCTCTCGCCCGTCCCGTCTCTCTCGCCCGTCCGTCTCTCTCTCTCTCTCTCTCTCGCCCGTTCGTCTCTCTCTCTCGCCGTCCCTCTCTCTCTCCCGTCCCGTCTCTCTCTCTCTCTCTCTCGCCCGTCCCGTCTCTCTCTCTCTCTCTCCCGTCCCGTCTCTCTCTCTCTCTCTCGTTCTCTCTCTCTCTCTCTCTCCGTCTCTCTCTCTCTCTCTCCCGTTCCGTCTCTCTCTCTCTCGCCCGTTCCGTCTCTCTCTCTCTCTCGCCCGTTCGTCTCTCTTTCTCTCTCTCTTGCCCGTTCCGTCTCTCTCTCTCTCTCCTGCCCGTTCCGTCTCTCTCTCTCTCTCCTGCCGTTCCGTCTCTCTCTCTCTCTGCCCGTTCCGTCTCTCTCTCTCTCCTCGTTCCGTCTCCTCTCTCTCCTGCCGTTCGTCTCTCTCTCTCTCTGCCCGTTCCGTCTCTCTCTCTCTCTGCCCGTTCGTCTCTCTCTCTCTCCCTGCCCGTTCCGTCTCTCTCTCTCTCTCCTGCCCGTTCCGTCTCTCTCTCTCTCTCGCCCGTTCCGTCTCTCTCTCTCTCGTCTCCGTTCCATCTCTCTCTCTCTCCCGTCCCGTCTCGCCGTCTCTCTCTCTCTCTCTCTGCCCGTCCCGTCTCTCTCTCTCTCTCTCTCGTTCGTCCCTCTCTCGTCTCTCTCGTCTCTCTCTCTCTCTCGCCCGTTCGTCTCTCTCTCTCCCGCCCGTTCCGTCTCTCTCTCTCTCTCTCTCTCGCCCGTTCCGTCTCTCTCTCTCTCTCTCGCCCGTTCCGTCTCTCTTTCTCTCTCTCTTGCCCGTTCCGTCTCTCTCTCTTACCCGTTCGTCTCTCTCTCTCTCTCTCTCTCTTGCCCGTTCCGTCTCTCTCTCTCTCTCTTGCCCGTTCCGTCTCTCTCTCTCTCTCTTGCCCGTTCCGTCTCTCTCTCTCTCTTGCCCGTTCCGTCTCTCTCTCTCTCTCTTGCCCGTTCCGTCTCTCTCTCTCTCTTCCGTTCGTCTCTCTCTCTCTGCCCGTTCGTCTCTCTGTCTCTTGCCCTCTCTCTCTCTCTCTCGCCCGTTCTCTCTCTCTCTCTCGCCCGTTCCGTCTCTCTCTCTCTCTCTCCTGTTCCGTCTCTCTCTCTCTCGCCGTCCCGTCTCTCTCTCTCTCTCTCTCGCCGTCCCGTCTCTCTCTCTCTCTCTCGCCCGTTCGTCTCTCTCTCTCTCTCTCTCGCCCGTTCCGTCTCTCTCTCTCTCTCTCGCCCGTCCCGTCTCTCTCTCTCTCTCTCTCGCCGTTCCGTCTCTCTCTCTCTCTCTCTCTCTCTCTCTCGCCCGTTCCGTCTCTCTCTCTCTCTCTCTCTCTCTCGCCCGTTCCGTCTCTCTTGCCCCGTTCTCTCTCTCTCTCTCTCTGCCCGTTCCGTCTCTCTCTCTCTCTCTCGCCCGTTCCGTCTCTCTCTCCCGTTCCTCTCTCTCTCTCTCTTGCCCGTTCGTCTCTCTCTCTCTCTCTCTCTCTTACCCGTTCTCTCTCTCTCTCTCTCTTGCCCGTTCCGTCTCTCTCTCTCTCTCTCTCTCTTCCGTCTCTCTCTCTCTCTCTCTCTCTCCCGTTCTCTCTCTCTTGCCCGTTCGTCTCTCTCTCTCTCTCTCTCTCTCTTGCCCGTTCCGTCTCTCTCTCTCTCTCTTGCCGTTCCTCTCTCTCTCTTGCCGTTCGTCTCTCTCTCTCTCTCTTGCCCGTTCCGTCTCTCTCTCTCTCTCTTGCCCGTTCCGTCTCTCTCTCTCTCTTGCCCGTTCTGTCTCTCTCTCTCTCTCTCTTGCCCGTTCCGTCTCTCTCTCTCTCTCTTGCCGTTCCGTCTCTCTCTTGCCCGTTCCGTCTCTCTCTTGCCCGTTCCGTCTCTCTCTGCCTTGCCGTTCGTCTCTCTCTTGCCCGTTCCGTCTCTCTCTCTTGCCCGTTCCGTCTCTCTCTCGCCCCTTCGTCTCTCTCTCTCTCTCTCTCGCCCTTCCGTCTCTCTCTCTCTCTCTTGCCCCTTCCGTCTCTCTCTCTCTGCCCGTTCGTCTCTCTCTCTCTGCCCGTTCCGTTCTCTCTCTCTCTCTCTCGCCCCTTCCGTCTCTCTCTCTCTCTCTCGCCCCTTCCGTCTCTCTCTCTCTCTCGCCCCTTCCGTCTCTCTCTCTCTTTCTCCTCCTCCTCCTGTGTTGCTTGTATTCCTTTATCCCTCTTCCCTATCTATCTTCCCCTTTCTATACCCTATTCCTTCCCTTCTCACTTTACCTCACACACCCCTACCTTTTTCTTATTCTCTGTAGCTCAGATGCTGACAAGGTATGCATCAAGGTAAATGGACAGACCATTGATGTTTTTAGTTTGGATTTTCCAGTCATAAATTGTTTTTATGATTTTTGAAGGCATCGGTCATGTTAGGGTTTTCTAATTTCAAATAGGTTAACTTTTTCCACAAAGTAACAATAACAATAAGTTTGGGGAGTATTTTAGAGAAGTTCTTGGGAGTACTTTCACGGGAAGTTATTAGAGATTTTTTTTCCTTTTCTTCGTGTACGTGAAACAGTATGCTATATTTTTTTTTCTATCTTTTAAGGAGTATTGTCACATCTGGAAATTTTTGTTAAATGGAGTGAAAAAAAATTTTAATTTTTTAAGCATATTTGAAAAAAATTTCTGTTTAATGTACCCCCAAGAAAAACCTTTTTCAACAATCTGCATAATTCTTTTTTTTTTTTTTTTTTTTAAATTCTTTTTCCAAAAAAATATTTTTTAAAAAAGATAAAGAATTATCATTAATTATATTATTATATATTGTATTAAGATAATATATAATATTATTGTAATTATTAGATTATTATTAGATAAAATTATTATAATTATTAGATTAGAAATTATTATATTATATATTATTTTATTATAATATACATAAAATATAATATTATTATAATATTATATTATTACAATATTATTATATATTATTATTTACTTATAGACTATTGTCCTCATTGTTGTGATGACATTTCCGCCATTTTGTCCTAGATTTATCGGATGCTAGCTGAGCTGAGTAACCTTCGGTGAACTTCAAACTGAACATTTTACATGGGAGAATAGCGTTGCGTTGGTTTGTGAATTTGATGAACTGTTAATTGCGAGTTCAATTCCTGGGTCGGGCAGTGTAATTGGACATGGTGGAAACAGGGCAAGCAATAACTGAGGAAAGAACAAGACAAGATGTGCTTGGACATGGTCAGCAAAACAAGAACAATCTACCCCTTAAATTAAATAAAGGGTTCAGTTTGAAATTCCCTGTAGTATACCCAGATTGACAAGCACCTGAAGAAGGTCAGAGGGCACACAGCTGAAACGTTGTGATAACAACAAAGATGCAGACAAAAGTCTGTGTAAATAAAGAGAAGGAAATTTAAATAAAAATGCAGATTTAGAAAAGAAACAAACTGTCTGACAGGTGACTCCATACAGTTGGTGTCTCCACACACCCAACTAAAATCCAAAAATGTTTTTTCATGAAATCAGATAGACACAAATTGGACAATAGGGAATGTTCCCAAGCAACCAGTTTTGTTTTTGTTCTGCGTTCTTTATAAAACCAATGATACCCCCACCTTCAAAAATGATCTTCACTTTTCCTTTTTACACTTTCTAACCTTTGACCTTGTTGATATAACCTTAACCTTTGCTCTGGGTTCTTAAGATTAGAGTGTCAGTCCGTAAGCAACATTTGATGACGCCAAGTACGACTGTCATGCACATTGTTTTGTAAACTTGTCGTTATCCAATACAGCCATGAAAAGAACAACAAATTTAACATTTGGCATTTTTCACACAATTTTCTTTTATTTCCTAATAACAATGAGGAGGGTAACTCAGAAATTCCATGCAGCCAGTATGGAATCTGGGCTTAAATTTAAATGTTCAAAGCTTTGCCCCTTGTAAAACTAATTCTAAAATTAAGTAGACTCCCAACAGAACTCCTACTGACTGATGAGGCAGATTTTTCCCCACAGTAGATTGCCATTTCTTTCTGCGGTAGACCAGTTGCCATCCGAGGCTACACAACCCGGTTTATTTACCCATAGCTGGGGGGGAGAAGAAGAGGATTCACACCTCTCCCAAGGGTATTAGCACGTAAGTGAATGTAATGGATTTCACTGGAATTTGAACTCGGCTTTCCGATTCCTCAATCCGACCCACTATCCATTACTCCACCATGTTTCCTAACACTAAAGATACTTAAAAAAAAAAAAAAAAAAAAATAGCCATTTTCCTGAACTGCGCAAGTACCTACCTAACTGCTCTTACTATCTTCTGCTCTTACAAGATCCAGATCAGGTCAAAAATGGAGTACTGATGCCATATATAAGAAGGAGTCTTCAATTTCCAATAGAGTTTAAAAGAGTATCTGCATCCTTGTGGGTGATGAATTACTTTCCACCTACAACCCCTTTCCCCACAGACAAAATATCACAGACCTTTTGCTATTTCCACGAAAAATGTTTTGACGAAATATAATCCCGAGTTCCAACATTTTTAAACTTCATGTCTAACACCTGCCATGCCACACCCTTTGTATTCCATTTGAGCAGCTTTTTCTCACAAATTGCTGCTTTGTGCAACCTACTCCCAAGAGGATGCTTTCCCTATCACTACAATCTTAGCCCATTCAAAATTAACCTTCCCCACATATCCACCTAAACTGTGCCTCTTACTCTATAACCTTCTACCTCGAGTGGCTCCAGGGCCTTGTAAAAGTGAACGTCCTTGTAAAAAGGAAGAAAAATACCTACTTAGGAAACTGATGAAAAGATAAAGACTCTAAATGAATTTGGCTATATAAAATTAAAAAATTCTAAAATTTCCAGCATTCCTCTGTTGTGCGTATACATAGTCCGACCAAGATAACAAATTTAGTCTGATGAAGTCCTGAAGGATGAAACATGTCACAAGTAAACTTTTTTTCCACTTTGTCATTCACTTTCCCCAAAAAGAAAAAAAGAACAAAATAAGGAACATGATATCCTTAGACATTGATAGCAGAAAGGGAAAAATCTTACCCATCAGTTTAATAAACAGTTCATTTCTAAATTCTCTGGATTGAAAAGCACTTCCAGTAGTCCACGAAGCACAACAGCCGAAACGTGATAGTAACAAGATATTAATGAAGACAATAGTTCACCTGTAGTGATAACGCCTCATCAACAAAATTCAGACAGATATTACTTAATGTAAATATTACTTAATCTAAATATTACTTAATATAAATATTACTTAAGACAGTGGTTTCTCCTACAAAGGGGGAGCATGTTTGAACCCTTCCAGAGGACAATTTCTTTGTCTCAAATGCACAGGCTAATAATTGTAATTCATACTACACTGGTTAAAAAAAAAAAAGAATCACAAAACAGGACATGTATCTCTACTCAAACATGGCTATCAACAAAATAATGTTTGGGTGAGTAGCAAATTATATATATATATATATATATATATAATAAAATTAAGTGTTTGTCATGTGTTATAACAGCATGTGTGAGAAAGGCCCAAGACAGCATCAAAAATATTATACACTTTGGCTGGAGGCTCCCCAGATTTTGAGGTTAAGCCTATAGGTAAATCTAGCACCACCACTAAGTTATTCACCCATAGAAAGTGTTCAGTTTAACAATCAATTCAATATATATATATATATGTATATATATATATATAGTCATCCACAGACTGTTTTATTGTTTCACAGCTCATCAGTGTGGCTAGACATCTGATTGCCGCAAGCCAGGATCAAAACCCAACTGATTTGATATCAGTTGGAGATTTTACCCCTAAGCCATTGGCACAGAGCAAAGATGAAGTTGAATTTAGATGCATTTATTTTTAGACAAACACGCCAGTAACTGGAGAATTCGATTTGTCTTAACAAAGAGTCTTGCATCAGCAGAATGTAATAATCACCGTTTTTTATGTATATAATATATATATATATATATATATATATTTAAGATAACAAATCCATTAGTATATAATAGAAGTGGATCCTAGAATAAAATATTAAAGCTAATCCATGAAAAGAGCTTAATGTATTTATTATTACAGAGCAAATAATTAATAAATAAGGAATCCAAAATCACCTCATATGGGGAATAGTCTATATCGGCAGATGAAGATATATCGGTTGTCTGTCTTATCAATCCTGGTATGGACTGGGTTTGTGTCAGAAGTAGAAATTTAACTGTGAAAGCTTTTAAAAAAAAATATATATATATATATATATATATATATATATATATAATTATTTATTTGAAAATTATAACTTAAATGTTATAAAATCACTACAAAAGTAGCCATTTTATTTCAACACTTCTGGTGTCTTATCAAGTGATGTTGTTTTTTTTAAGACTAGCATTTGTTGGTTATTGGAATTTATTCCATATACACCAATCCTATACTTGTGTGTGTGTGTATATGTGTATGTATGTATATATATATATATATAATCTCAAACAGTTCATGCTTCTCCATTTCATTTTTGAAAATCATAGAAATGTGAAACTGGTAAAGTTCCTCTAATTAAATCTCCTTTATATTTTCAACTTCTTTTTCCTATATATTTTTTACCTGCATTGGACCCCAAAAAAATAAATTATTTTAACTTTCAAACTACTACATCTACTACTACTAGTTGTGGACAAGCAATAAAAGTTTAATCCCTTCAAGTCAAAGTGCTTGTCGATCTGAGTAACTTGTAAGGAACGTTGAACCGAACACTTTCCATGAGTGAATAACCTAGTATAAGCACCAGATTTACCTATAGGTTTAAGCTGAGGGCTTCAAAATCTGGTAGCTTCCAGCTAATATTTTTGAGTCTTTCTTACACATGCTGTCATAACACATGATAGAACCCTAAATAATATCCTTGGCTTTACTTAAATTGTTTAATTCAATACTCTTCCATTTTCCTCTACTCATGAGAATGGGGAATTTGGGAAGGAGCCCCACAAGTGGAATAGCCTAGGGCCTCTCCTCATCTAAATCTGGCCTTACCAAAATGTCGGCTTGTGAATTTGGTAATGTAGTAATTGCAAGTTCAATCCCTGGGCTGGGCCATGTGTACTTGGACCCAGTAGAAACAAGAGCAAACAATAACTGACCAGTCCTAATTAAAAACTAAAAAAAAAAAAAAAAATCCGTAGACGTGGGCAGCAGAACAAGAAAAGTCTACTGCTGTCTCCCTTCCTTATCTTCATAATCTTCTTTTGACCAATATATACTTTGGTTTTGTTGAGTCTAAGGCTGTTCCACTTGGAATGCTTTTATTTTGAACCTACCATTTTGTAGAACAGTCGTTCACATGAATGCTTCCCAGAACACTAAAATCTTAACCTATTCAAGTCAAAGCTATCTAGCCTCCTCATCTTCTCTTCTTGAGCCTTGTATTATGTGAACATTAATATAAAAAAAAAAAAAAGGTGATAAAAACTTAAATGCTGTTAAATGAAGCCAAGTCTGGTTGTTTTTGTTCCCCATTCCAATCATTGAATTTTAGTAAAATTTTCCATTTATTGATTATTAAATACAGATTTAATTTAATAGCAATATCATTTGGCTGCTTCAAATTAATACAGAATCTTAAAATATTTATAAATTTTTCTAATTAAAATTTGAATAAAATGAAAACAATTCTTGTAAAAATTCATTATTCAAAAAAATATTTTCTTTAAAGACAGTATCCTAAAGTTTTCTTTTTTTTTTCTTTTTTTTTTTTTTTTTTTTTTTTTTTTTTTTTTTTTTTTTTTTTTCTTTTTTTTTTTTTTTTTTCTTTTTTTTTTTTTTTTTTTTTTTTTTTTTTTTTTTTTTTTTTTTTTTTTTTTTTTTTTTTTTTTTTTTCTTTTTTTTTTTTTTTTTTTTTTTTTTTTTTTTTTTTCTTTTTTTCTATTTTTTTCTTTTTTTTCTTTTTTTTTAAGATAACACTTTATTCATAAAATCAATTAAAAGCTGTCTTAGTTTTATTGCGTTTTTTTATTTTACAATTCAGAACAGATTTTCTGTAACTGGGGATCCTGTTAGCCCCCCCAAAATTTGATGATTTACATTCTGCAAGGTGTTGTCCTTATGACTTTTGTGAACATTAAGTACTACAGAAAATAATTTCTTAAATTAAATGAACAGAGATATGTGTGTGTGTATGTAATAATTTTAATTTATATTTTTATTATAAAAGATTATAATAAAAACATTTTAAATTGCTACACAAAAGCTTTACTGTTTCAATACTATGATTGTACTTCATCAGGCGATGGTTGGTAACTGGTGATAAAATGTTTTTTTAGGGAAATTTAAGAACAAATTGTTACCTCTTTTCCAAAAGTTAAAGGCGCTATGGACTGTGGATTTTTACTCCATTTGTTCTTTCTCATATTTGGCAATATATATAAGATTTTCTAAAAAACAGAAATGTCTAAAAAAAAAAAATAATTTCACTCGTTTCTGAATATGTCCTGAAAGTTTCATTAAAATCTGGAAATTATCTATTTTTTCAAGAATATCCAATTAATGTGTATTTTATGACAAAAGGACACTGAAATTTCCCATAGAGATTTATGGTCCCACATTGATCTATTGGGATTTTGAGTAATTTTTGACTGATTTTTTTTTTTTTTTTTTTTAATCAAATTTTTGGGGGTTCCTACAGTTAAGTCTTTCAAAAGAAGTAGTTTGAAATCTCAACTTTTTATTTTCTTCTCTTTTTCAGGCAAAGACCTCCAGGTTACCCTATATCCTCAGGTGCCTTCTCCGGGCCTTACCCTCCCTCATTAATCAACACATCTACGTTATCACGATTTGGTCCTCCCAGTCTGTTACCACCCCCAGGCTTACCCCACCCTGGAATTCCTCATCCGGCAATTGTCACAACAGGACCAAAACAAGAAGTGATGTCACATAGCCAAGATAATCATAGGTGAGTTCTTCCCCCCAATTTTGATTTTTTTTTTTTTTTCTTAAGTTTCAGAATCCATTTTCATTATCAAAATTGTAATTTTTCAGTCATAACACCTTAAGACTATCTCAGTCCCTATTACTTTGTCATTTAAAAAAAAAAACAATGATTTTGGGAATTGGACCAGGCTGAACTTCCCAGCTCTCTTTAATACAGCCAGCCAAAATTTGATAACATCTTTTAATGTTAAATATGTTGAAAGAGAGGTGAATCTTTCATTTCTTTCTTAGGGGAAGGTTTTTTGTTAATGTCTCGAGTCGATGGTCAGAAACCATTTTGTGTGAACAGGGTACAATAATGGATATATGGCAAATATACTTCCGATAGCCTTGTCCTTTGATAATAATTATCTAAAAGTATTTATAAATATCACAAGACTAAGAAAAAAAAAAATAATCCAGAGTTTTCTTTTGAACAATTCAAAATATTTGGAATTTATATCTGAAGGATCTGGTGCCATTTTTACAATTTCGGCACCCATGGCATCGCTGATGACAAATTTCAAATCTAAATTGTTTAAAATAATACATTTATTAGGAAATATATTCAGTAAGAATATGAGGAGTCATAAAAATGACTTCAAAGGGTCAGAGCTGCTTATACTCCTTTCTTGTTACCCTGAGGATTTTGCTAGACAGAAAAGGACTTATCCCTTACAACAGAGGAGCAAGTAAAAAAGAAAAGAAAAAAAAAAAGAAAAACTCCAGCCCACAAATAATCCGAGTTTTGTTTTGAGCACTATGCATCCATATAAAAGTCTCAATCTGACAAGCGCCTGTTTAAGATCATGACTCAAGTCGTTATGCAATTCGGAATCGATATCTGATGATTCAAGTGTAATTTTTACTAGTTTGATTTCCATCCCTTTGCTCTGAGACACCCCAATGATACTTCCGTTTTTTTACAGCAGAACTGCAACCTTTGAGGATGATGACCCTTTGATCTCATAGGGTGCTCGGTAGAGCAGTAGTTCGCGATATTTATGGACAACCCATCCTCTCTGTTTGCACTAAAACAAAAACAAAAACAAAAAAAAATAACCACTTTTATATTATAGACATGCTGGAGACTTACAGTAATTTTTCTAAGCATAGCTTAGATGTGGTACAAGGTCAAAAGTATGAGGCATCCAGTGAAGATCACACTCACTACTCAGTCATAATTGAGACAAGCTTGTTAACCATTACACTATACTGAAGTGTCCAAATGATGGAGACTTATAACAACCTAGTGAAATAACCGAAATCCGTTGTTTTAACATGGATACCAGTGCACGTTAGTATAAAGGATAATGAGAAGGCAACAAAAAGCATGTAACCTGGAAATAACTAATATAAGAATTTAATAATGAAAATTAAAAAAAATTTTTTTTTTTTAAATTTTAAATAAGTTACATTTTAAATACATATTTTTAAAAATTTTATAATAAAAAGATTTAAAAAAAATTTTAAATTTAAGAATATAAGTATTTTATGAGAATAATATGGACTAAGTTCGACATTTATTTTAATATATCTTATTGTTGTACATTATTTATATAGACAAATATTATTTAAATGCTCTGTTTATAATAAACACAATTACCGGCATTTACCTGACTGAATGTCTAAGAAATTTCATAGAAAATATACGTCCTCCAACAGGAATCAAACTTGTATACTATAGGCTATATGACAGTGTAGGTTCAATTCCCGTCAGAGGACACATATTTTCTATGAAATTTCTCAGACATTCAAGCCAGTAAATGTTGTTAATACTGTTTATTATAAACAGAGCATTTACTTAAACATTTGTGTCTAGTAAATAACATATAAACAGAAAATATATCAAAATAACTGTCAGACTTAGTTCATTTCATAATATATATGTATAAAGAATTCTTATATTACTTATATATGCTCTTTTAATATATTTTCTGTTTATACATTATTTTTATAGATACAAATATTTAAGTAAATGCTCTGTTTATAATAAACAGTATTAACAACATTTACCAGCCTGAATGTCAGAAATTGTCATAGAAAATATATGTCCTCTGGCAGGAATCAAACCTGTACCCTACACGGAAGCGTCATATAGCCTGATGTGCTATCCATTTAGCCACCTAGGAAGCATCTGGTCAGTAAATTCAAATTACGCTTTGAGCAGATATGATCATTCAAGAAAGATCATGGCAAATTTGTTTGTTTAAAAATTGAATTAAAAAAAATTAATGACTTCATAAAAAGCGAATGACAAGTAACAGGGGCCACATTCCCAGAAAACAAACTTTATGAACACCAGTCAAGTGTCTAACAGGAAAAACACAAAACTGCTAAAATGGATGAAGAAAGGACACTAAGATGCTCACTAGAGTCCATATTAGACAAGGACTAAATCATATATGCTTGCGAAGATTTGAAGATGTACCTTGACGCACCTCTTGCAATCATAGATTGACAATTAACCACATTTTGATTGAATGTAAAAGCTATAAGCATATATGTAGCAAATACTGCAATGTTGCAAATATAAAAACATTGTTCAGAGATGTTGACCCTGGCCAGACAGAAATGGAAATTTTTAACTTTAAAATTTGATTATGTATAGGTATATAAGGAGGACTAATTTAAATGGTTCAAATTAATACAATAAATGAACGGTTTACAGCTGTATCATCTTGAAAAACACCAAAGTTAAAGTAACATTGATTTTGGTCAGTGCCTAGATGGGTGACCACTTGGGAACACTAGGGGCTGTAAGCTTAGATGTGTATGGCTGGTGTAATGGATAAAAGAGAGCTAAGTTTGAATTTCAGTTGGTTTTGTTACATTCACTTACATGCAAATATTTCTTGGTAAAGGAATCCACCTCTTTCCCCCCCATGTATAGGTTAAATAATAGGACTTGTAACTGAAGTTCAATCTCTCCAAAATTCACTTGCAAAAAAAAAAGACAGAAATTATTCTTAGAATTCTTACATTGTTTTGGCTTTAAATAAACTCGAAGGTTGATAAGCAATAAAAAAGAAATTAATCAATTATTAAACAAACTATTTAAGACCAATTGTAGCTGCCAAACTGAGCCTCTCCAACAATTGACAAAAAAAGGAGAAAAAGAAAACATGTATATGTAATATGTATACACCTGGTTGGCATAAAATGACCCATCAGGCTTGAGACGTCACTAAACAAAATCTAACCAACCAACTCATCCTTAGATAACCAAATTTAAAATCTAAATAGTTTGTTCATTTAAAAAAACTGTATTTATTAGAAAATATATTCAGTTTAAATACAGAAGAAATTATAAAAATGATTTCCAAGAGCTGCACCTTTTGGATTAGACTTTTTTCCTATTACCCAGGAATTGTTGCCAGATGGAAATAGTAATTAATTCTTGCAACACAGAACCCCATTTCAATTTCATTCAAAGTGTGGGTGTCTGCACACTTACTTGTGTGCATGTATATTTTAATAGGATACCTAAAAATATTTCTATAAAATTTAAACAAAACAAAAAAAAATTTTTTTGATTTGTTAGGACTTGGGGAAAAAAAAAAAGATTTTTTTTTTTTTTCTTTCTTTTTGTTTTCAAATTTGATTTTATTGCTCAGCCCATGGTAGGCATTGTTCAGACTAAGTAGGAGAATAATGTCTTTTTTTAACTAATGTTCACCAAATGGAAGACCCAAGAGAAAATATATTCAGTTTGAATATAGAAGGAATTATAAAAACTTCCAAGGGCTGTACCTTTCAGCTTACACTATATTCCTATTACCCAAGGGTTGTTGACTGACAAAATAGAAAATTAACCCTTGCAACATAGATTATGGTTTTAATTTCATTCAAGTTGTATGTGTATAGACGTTTGCATGTGCACATATGTATTTTAATTCAATGACAGACCCAAAAATATTTCTGCAAAATTGTAAAGAAAACTTTAAAAATAATCTTATTTATTATTGAATAATCTCTGAAAAGTTATATAAAATTTTAAAATCCTGATGGCTTTTTTTTCTTTTTCTATTTTTTTTTTTTTTTTTTTTTTTTTTTTTTTTCTTTCCGTTTCAAACTTTATGAACATCTTGTTCAGCCCAGGGTAGGCATAGTCCAGCTGAGTACATATTATTCCAATGTCTTATTTCAAACTCATTCAAATTGCGTGTGTGTATATGTGTACATTAAATGACACAAGCACATGTAAATGACTCGTATGCAATACAGGTATGCATTATATATGCACATGCAAATTTGCACACACTGTGCAACAAAACAGTAAGCTCTTCTTTTTCTTATATTTGTTGAATTGAATCTTTAATGCAATTTTAAAAATAAAACATGACGATGATTAAAAAATCTACCCATATAAATAAGTGGCTTTCGAACGCAGCATTGTTATTGTTTAAAGATTTTTCAACTTTCCAAAGTCGCCATACTTGTTCTTTCTGTTAAACCTCAGGGGCAGTAACTCTTTGTTTTTTCTGCTGCATTATTTCCCTTAGTCGTAATTTTTTTTCTTCCGAGAATATAGTCATTTTAACTATAATTTGTAAGGAAATATTTGTTATTTTATTGTTTTTTTTTGTTTGTTTTTTTTAATTATAATCAGGATTTAAAAAAAAAAAAATCTTTCATCTGTTTTGCAATGTTATAGGTTTTCTATCTTTGTATAAGATTTCCTAAATTTGGGAAAATTTCCAAAGAGGACAAAATTGAAAAGCTTAATTGAAGAACAAGGGAGAGTGTATGTAAAAGAAAGAAAATATTGTAGAAAATAAGGCGTATAAAACAATTTAAAAAAACTTTAGAGCTAAGATAACTCTCATGTGAGAAGAGAAATAATGAAATTATATATATTTGTTACTTTTTTTTTTATTATTGAATTAGCTTCCATTTGAGACCAAAAATATTTTCATCAATTTCAAAGACAATTTCTTTTGAATATCCTACATTGTAAATTTATTTTCCAGTGTCCTATAT